TGTGATTTTATAACGTGATTTTATGTTATAATCTTCGAATGAATGATTATTCAACCGATATAAATATATATATATATATATATATATATACAGCCTATATATATATATATTCAACCTATATATATATATATAACCTATATACATATATTCAACCTATACACACACACACACACACACACACACACACATATATATATATATATATATATATATATATATATAAACATATTGGCCTATTAAAAATAACAGGTTAATTGATATATAACCGCCAATAACAATATTATATATATATATATATATATATATATATATATATATATATATTGTCATCCACAGAGACTGTTCGCTTTATCACAGATCATCAGTGTGGGTAGACGTCCGCTTGCCTCTAGGTAGGATCGAAACTTGAATGAATTGGCATCAGTCAGAGATTCTACCACTAATCTGTTGGTGCACGGCAGGGATGAAGTTGAATTTAAGCGTATTTATTTTTAGATAAATACACAGTGACTGAGAGAACCCAATTCGATTTAACGAAGAGTCTTGTATTATTAGCCGTAATAGTCACTGTTTACAAACCCACACTTCCTCCCCAGAGAGCTCAATCGAAATAAATTCTTCAGGAGCATATATATATATATATATATATATATATATATATATATATATATATATATTATATATTCAACCATAATCTATGTCATGGTGCAGCGAAAATAAGACCAGTTATAAGGTCTATTTCCTGAGTTCAGATCCTTATACATATATGTAATATTATGAAAATGTTATCTTTTACTACATTTTGATTACCGATGACGTTCATGCAAAATTGATCCCCGGAGGACGAACAACAGATATATAATTATCAGAAGCTACACAATCTCATCAGTGCACACGAATAGTGATGGAAAAAAGAATTGAATGAAAGAAAAAAAATATCTTCAGTTTGTGAATCACACGTTGTAACACGGTGTCTTTTCAAATGACATTTGTTTTTTCTTGTTTTTTGTTTTTTTGTTTTATCGTGCCCCTGGGTCAGTTATCATGCCAGCTCCAACATTTTAGTGACGCCTGCGGGTGGGTGTTACTTATTCATTGACAATGTCAGGCTAACTTAATTGGAAAAATGTCAAGATAGCTATATCCCATGGCGATTTATTCATAAATGCCAATGATGAACAAAATCGCAGTTGCATCCTATTCTTTTGTTTGGAGACAGGTAATCATCTCTATAATACGATACAAAACAATTGTTGAAATAGTAACAATATATATATATATATATATATATATATATATATATATATATATATATATATATATTATATATATATATATGTGTGTGTGTGTGTTTATGTATGTTTCACCTAAAATTATATAGCGTTTAATGTATCTCATTTCGCTGTTATTGGTCATAATATGTCAATTAATCTGTTACTTGAATAGGCCGATATTGTTTATATATATATATATATATATATTTATATATATATATATATATATATATATATATGTAAGAAAATATACGGAAAAACAAACAAAAATCCTAATATGCAATTATGCTGTTTTAATGTTAATATAATTTGTAAGGATTTTTGTTTGTTTTTCCTTATATTTTTTGACCATATATCGGATATATATCCATATATATATATATATATATATATATATATATATATATATATATATATATATATATATATATATATATATATATATATATATAAACTCTATTGGCTTATACAAAACAGGTTAATTGTCCTATTACAGCCAATTTCAATATATATATATATATATATATATATATATATATATATATATATATATATATATATAAATTTATAAAAGATAACTTTGGTTATCGCTTATATAATCTAGTTTTGAATTGTATTTAGTCATGTTCCAAGTAAAAAAAGGAAGGCTAATATAAAAAAAGAAGGCATATATCGATGTGGCCTCGTGATTAAAGGAATAGCGATCACCATATGACTGTACGTCGAATCTCGTCTAAAACACAATATCGGTTACCAGTAATATAACCCTGTATTCAGCTGTATTTCGTCCTATTCAGTATATAAACATGGTTAATTTTGTCATTATTACATATATCGGCAATTCCTCTCGGTAAAATTATAGCGATCCAATCAAATGATCCGAGTTTGAATGTCAATATAGAAGATGTTTTAAAGAGGCAACTTCAAGATATCCCGGGAGACAATTGCAATGTGTGTAGCACCATTTTGAAGTCCCTGAAAACTATACCCAAGGTTTATCCAAATGATGTTAGTGGAATCATAAATATAATATTAACTATAATGCTATCAACATTCCTCTTCTTCTATATGTGTCGGATTCCTTCAGGATATAGCCAGTCATGGCTCTCCACAACTTCCTGTTCCTTGTAGTCCTTAATAAATTATGTCTTTCCGTTATTTCTCTTAAGCCCTCTTCCGTCATGAATTTACCCCCTAAGTATGTTATATGTTGTTTACCCCTGTGCATCCTGCCTTCAATCTGTCTCGTCAGTATACGATTACTGAAGCCTTTCTTCGACGTTATATGCATCAGAACTGTCACCTGTCTCTATCTGTTAAGTATTTGTTTCTGTATTTTGTTTCTGTTTCCTTTTTGCTTGTATTTTCACCAGAACTTTGTCGTTGCTCACATGTATATCACGGTATCTCCAGCGTCCTTCTGTAAAACTCCATTTCTGTTGCTTCAAGCCGCCATCTTGAGCAGATCGTCCAGCACTCATTGTCATACAAGAGGACAGCAGCGGTTTAGTACTGTTTTCCTTGTTTCTAGCGAAATTTTCCTATTTCATAGTAGTCTGCTGAGCGTTTGCACTGATTCCTTGGTTATCCCAATGCGCCTTTGGATTTCAGTGTCGCACTTTTCCTGCTCTGTTAAAGCACTTCCTTCCAAGTTGACAAATTTAAATACTCCACAATTACAGAAAAGACCAAACAACGATAAAAAAAAAAACGTCATTCTTACATATGTAAAACCAATCGATAAAAACAAATACACCAGATTCATTTACTACAAAAAAAAAAAAAATTAAAACTAGCCACCTAGTTATTAAAAATAATTTATCCCAAATTTCCACCCCCTCTATATAAGATCAATCTTGTTCCTCAATATACTTGCCCATTCGGGGAATATTTCGCTGTAAATAATAAAAAAAAAACGCAAAAAAATCTTACATAGGATATGCCACAACCACACTCTCACGGAGATTCACCTGTCATCTACCAGGCCATAGTAACACCACATAACACATTAATAGGCAGAATCATGGCAACATTAGACAGCGACATACAAACACTATCAAAATACTAGCAAAATCAAATAATAAAAGCAGGCATGATTCTTGAAGAAATACTAATACAATAAAACAAACATCTATCAATAAAAGCAATTATAATTTAATTGACATGTACGTATGGCTTGGGTATGTACAGTGTATGCCGGATAGGAGGGTTTCGAAGGTTCTTTACGGTGAATTGACCATCGGCAAGAGTACACGGGGGGGGGCGAATCTTAACTTCATGGGGGTCTGCAGAAAGGACAGGATGGCTATGGACATAGGCATCGAGAGGTGGGAGGACGTCGCCAATGATCACTAACGCTGGAGACGCACTATACACCGAGGGCTGGATCTAGGAGAGAAGAAACGGAGGTTTGCCGCCGGGAAGAAGAGTGCTCGACGAAAAGAAAATGAGTAGATATCGACGATGGGTGAGCGTCTTCACATGCAATCATTACGAACGAGAGTGTAACCACCGTGTGGGCCTGTACAGGCATAACATAATTTGGGCGCATATCCAAGGTTTCTCGAGACAGGAACACGCAACACATTATAAATTCAAGAGCCCGCTTCTCAATAAACAACCATCACACACACACGTCACACCCTGCCTACGTCACAACACTTTGCCTATGTCACTACACTGACGAGTTCTACGAAAGCCACCATTTGTCTATTAGTACTTTGCTGAAGACATCAGATAATCGAAAGCTTGGACCATATTTCTTCCGAAATGAATTCGTAATTTAATAATAAATCCAATCGATGCAAAATATCTGTTGTCTTTAATAAGATCCATATTTATGTTTCCATGAATTGAGCTTTCTGGTAGCCATTAATAATTATGTGTTTCTTGCCAGCGTGGGATAATGGCCTATGGGGGATAGACAAATTGGTCGGATTTCGATCCAGGCTTGAAGCAAACGCTTGTCTAGCCACACTGATGAGCTGCGATACTGCGAAACAGACTGTATGTGGATGACTATATATATATATATATATATATATATATATATATATATATATATATATGTGTGTGTGTGTGTGTGTGTGTGTGTGTGTGTGTGTGTGTGTGTGTGTGTGTGTGTGTGTGTGTGTGTCGTCTAGGGATTATTTAGTATTACAGTCTACAGTAGTACTGCTCAGATATTTCTCAACCCATTTCCACTGGGACGAAAAAGGTTTTGGCCAGCCCGTGTACGGAACTCAAAATGAGTATGTCACCAAATTCACAAACAACGGTTATAATTCACTTGGCCGAATATGAAAGAATAAAAAAATAATATAAACCAGCCTTTCTCAGTTTTTTTTTTCTTTTTTGTTTGTTTGTGTTATACGAGGGTCGTTTACTTTCATAACATCTCGATTTCTTATTTATGATGGTTGGGTGATTGGAGGAAGTATGTATAGGTAGCATTTATTTATATTGATCACACACACACACACACACACACACGTGTGTGTGTTTGTGTTGTCTAAATGGTGTTATAACATAATTGTCCAGCCCACAAAATGTTTAATATTTAAAAAACACTAAACTAATTAAGTTTATTTTTTGCAGGTTTTCAGATACGACGTTTACCAATTTTGATTCCATTTATTGTAAGAATCACTGCAAAACCATTTGACTTATTCAGCTACAGAGGGAACAGGTTAAAATCGTTTTGTGATAGCCCCACTGTCTTCTCAAATGAGCAATGGTGAGAGAGAAAAGATCATTGAGGCCTTAGGTAATGGTACCAACATTCATACTCTGGCTCCCATCTTCAACGTCCATTCAACAGCCATCGAGAGAATGGTGAATAAGTTTTAAAAACAGGGAACAGTATAGAGGAAAATTGGGTCAGGAGTTCACAACAGGAAGAGAGATCATCATTTCAAGTTAGAGATAAAGTGATCAAATAGAAAACTAAATTCATAAGACGTTAGGCAGGTAAGAGAGCAGTTTCAGCAATGACAGTCCAAAGAGCAGTGAAAAGAGATTGAAAATGAAATGGTGCGTAAAACGATTGTCGTAACTTGTAACTCCAGACAGTTAGAAGTTTAGAGAGGACGATGATCATCTGCAATAAGTTATAAAATGATTCTGGAATATTATATATATATATATATATATATATATATATATATATGAAACTTCCTTCATGTACTTCGACCCTTAGCTATAATTAATTAAAGATGAACATGTCATTTTCGTTTATGATCGATTTCATCACGATTCTTCTGTTAACCTGGAGAGTAATTATAAATTCTTACTACTCAACGTAGAGTTCTATAGAGTTATAAAAATATCGGAGAATTCCAGTAAGATATATTTAATCATTTCTAAGACACAACGGTTCAAATCTTAATCTAAAAATTGAACAATTTTGCTGTTACACGATTTGTACAATTTTACTGTTACACCCTATATATATATATATATATATATATATATATATATATATAGAGAGAGAGAGAGAGAGAGAGAGAGAGAGAGGTTGAGTGATTGAGTGAGAGAGATTTCCTGTAAGTTCCCAAACACTCATTAATTTTTAGATATAATTCTCCGAAAAAAAAACTTCTTTTGAATAAAGAAAAGGTAAATAGCTAGAAGATATCCGGCGATACATCTACTTAGGGCCGGTAATAAAATTATGGAAAGCCCACGAAAATGAAATAAAACGACATCTAGCGGCTGTTTGGAATGTGTTTAATAAAAAATGAAGACATTATGAAAAGCACTTTGCTTATAACGTAACGCGAATAATGAATGTGTAATGTCAGCTCTGACGTTCGGGTGTAAGACATGGAAATTAAGAAAATCACGGGAAAACAAAGGAACAATGTACAGAAGTATTTTTTCTCAGCTTCTTCATATTTTTCTATCCATGCCAATCGGTAGTTATATTGGCTTATGCTTTGTTAAGGACATCTATCTATCTATCTATCTATCTATCTATCTATCTATCTATCTATCTATCTATCTATCTATCTATCTATCTATCTCTTGATCTATGTGTGTATGTATATATCTATCTTATTATATGCACATCAATGTATCAATCTTATATTCATATCTATCTATCTAGCTATCTTATTCAAATGATATATAAGTATGTGTCCATCTACCCTTATATATTCATATCTATCTATCTATCTATCTATCTATCTATCTATCTATCTATCTATCTATCTATCGCATTCAATTCACCTGTATATATATATCTATCCTATTATCTATCTATCTATCTATCTATCTATCTATCTATCTATCTATCTATCTATCTCATTCAATTAACCTGTATATATATATATATATTTATCCTATCTATCTATCTATCTATCTATCTATCTATCCATCTCATTCAATGCATGTGTATGTATGTATCTATCTCATTCAATTCATATGCATGTATCTATCCTATTACATTTCTATCTATCTATCTATCTATCTCATTCAATTCATATCTATCTATCTATCTATCTATCTATCTATCTCATTATATAAATCTAATTCATTGATTTCCTTATCTATTTAACTTATCTATTAAGAAGACCTAACACGCATACATGCCTTCATCGTATGCAGTAAATCCATTTCGTTTCCGCAACTTCTTAAACTCTGAATTCCTTCCCAGTAAGCGTATATTTCATAGGCACTCGTTAAAATAACCTCTTTCTTCGAGCGGAATTTTAGTAAATTTCCAATATTGTCTGCCTGAGTTTTAAATCATATGTCATGTCAACCTCTGTTGTCTATAATTCAAGAGCAAAACTACTATACATATCTCACTGCATTTTACAAAATGAATATATTAGGGCGACGCAAAAAGTTACAATGTCATTATTTTCTTTATTTAACTTGTATGGTTTTTTTTTTTTATTTAACTTGACTCAGAATCATAAGAACATTATACTCTTTTTGGAAAATATAATGTACCTTCATGACATTGCTATGTCTGCCACTACACCTATCGCTCTTTTCATGACAAATGTTTAGACGAATTTCATTTCTTAGTTTCACCTGTCCACACCGTTACAGGTAGGATGTGACATAACACGTACAGAGCATCGACTAATTTCTTTTTGTTTGGTAAGACGGAAGTTACACTCAGACAGCACTTTTTGCAGAACTGTTACTTTATACTTTGTTTTATTTTGGTTTACGGCATATCAAAACCTCAATGGATTATTTAATGCCGAAAAAATTCTTATGATAATTTTGTATGAACAGAATATATATTCTTTGTAAGAAATCAGTTTGTAGATCAGGTTTCGTTGACGTATTTTTGTAAAGAGGGTTTTTTGTCGAGAGTTAAATGTATTGCTGGTAATATTTTTCCCAAAAATGTATTTCTGGAAATAGTTTCACAAATTAATTGCTAGTAATTTCAATATTTCTCTCTCTCTCTCTCTCTCTCTCTCTATATATATATATATATATATATATATATATATATATATATTATAAATTAATTGATTTAAAATATGGTTATTTTTTCTACACAGTTCAACCATGTTTCAAAAATAGAAGCTAAAACCTCTAATTTTATTTTTGCAAATAAATTAAAAGCATTAGTTCCATTTCATCTTCAAGCGAATTTTGGAGTAACTTTTAAAATTTACCGGGTTTTAAATACACAGCTAAAATCACGTTTCCATGGTTACAGAATATTCTACTCAAATTGAACACGGGGTGTCTAGATTTTCCTTATGACAGTATCATTGTATCAGTTATTAGCTACATTTTGGTAAGGGGTGAGGATGTATTTTACTCTGAAACCTGACGTCGGTTGAATGGATGTCGTCTGAATTTAAAAAAAAAAAAAAAAAAAAAAAAAATATATATACAGGATGTCCATAAAGTTCGTGTACACTTTAAAAAAAATTAACTTTATTTCTATTTGCGATAGAAATAATTTATAAAAATGATTAAAAAGAAGTAAATCTATATTTTTTAAGGTTTTATTGAAATTTTATTTAAGTTTCCACGTCCTCCATCATTAGCAATACAAAGGGTAATAGGATTTTGCAGTTCACGGAAAACATTTGCCAACTGATTTACAGTAATACCTGAAATCACATTAGTTATTTTAGCTATACTTAAAACTAGGTACATTAAACTTTATAACATTTTCTACAGATTATTTCTATCGCAAATACAAATAAAGTCATATTTTTTAAAAAGTACACACGAACATTATGGATACCCTGTATATATATATATATATATATATATATATATATATATATATATATATATATATAAGAAATAAATATAAATAAATATATTTCTCTATATAGATATATTGCTGATAATATTTCTATTAAATGTCTTGCTGTATATATTTTATACTTTCATTCCGTTTTGATCTTTCATTCCGTTTTGACCTTTCATTCCGTTTTGACCACAGTTTGGGGGTTAACTGGTTGCCCATAGCTGGGTCCCTAACAGGTGCTACCAACCTTGTTGCCGGACGTCTTTTATCTTCTTACCTAGGACGATTACTTTATTGAAGAGATTTCTGAATGTTTGCATTCCCTCTCACTACGTTGTTAATGTTTTCTGATCTAGTGTCACTCGTTATCTGCCCTGATAATATACATGTCTTACTTCCAACATTTGCAACTTTAGAACTTATTAATTTAATAAACACTTTACCTTGTATGACTTAATCTACAATATACTAATATATAAATAAAATAAAATTAAAAAAATAAGATAAAGTAAAACTTTATGAATCTCTACAGATAATGACTTATTGGGAAAGATAAAGGAGTAGTTTTCCCTTGATTTCTCCAAGGTCTTGAACACACAGTTTTCATTATTTTAGACTGGTTGCCGCCCTAATTTTATAAGTCAAGTCTACTCTGAGACTTAATACAGAGCAAGGGTGGGGAAATAGAATTATGCTTTTCCCAAGAGTGTTTATGCGAAAGTGAATGCAAGAGGCGTGGCCGGAAATTGAACTCGGCTGGCTAATTTCACCTTCTACACTGATTACCGTGACACCGATCGCACATTATACTTATTATAAAACCCAGGTTGTGTGTGTGTGTATGTGTGTCTGTACGTTTATATATTGGATCGGATTTCCTACATTTTTCAACTGATTTCAACAAAACAAAACTACGTAAAATTACCTTGCAGTGGTTCTGACAGTGCCAAAAATTGGAAAAGCACAATTGTTTTTGCAGGAAAAAAAATTTAAAAACACGATTAAGAGGCATCGCGAGAATGAAAGGGGGACAACTCATATCGAGTTATACTTATAAAATCCAGGTTGTTTGTGTATGTGTGTGTTCGTTTATATATATGGGATCGGATTTCCTACATTTTTCAACCGATTTCAACAAAACATTTTTTGGCAGGTAGTGTTTCTTATTGTCTTGCACAATTTTTTCTTTATTTTTACATTCAGAATGCTTTAAAAATTCCATTTAAAAGACAATTGTTTATAATAAAATTCTATTCAATCGGTAGACTCATAATAATTGAAACCAATGTTTTTGTTTGAGTTTGAGTTTGACCAAATCGTAAAAAAAAAAAAAAAAACTAATTAAGACATGCGTTCCGTCAACATTAAACAATAGTCTTTGTCAATTTTATTTTTCAGTCTTTATGATGGTCGATACTTGATCTATCTCTTACTGTTACATCCCCGGGCAACGCTGGGCTCTACTGCTAGTCTATAATGACAGGCACAGTATATGATTGAAAATTTTGCTATATACCCTTTTAAAGCTTCCTCCAGTTGACAAGTTTTCTATTTCAATAACCTACATGACATAGAATTAGGAAAAAATAATTCGAAATCGATGAACTGGAAGGACAATTTTGAAATGTAATGAAGCACAAATATGACATGATTTTGCGGAAACATTAGAAAAAATAAGAAATATTGTACGAAAGGCAAATTACAAGAAAAAAGATCTCTTGATTTTCAGGATTAATTGGGTGAATTTACAATATGGCCACACCTGTTCGATCGTTGCAAATATTATGCAGGAAAAAACCGTGTAAGTGTTACGAATTGTTCTTGCGCGTATACACCGTTTTTTAGTTTACATAAAAAACTATTTCATAAGAGGGGCGAATGATTTTTCACACACACACACACACATAATTTTTCAGTTTCCGCATGAAACGATCGTCTAAGAAAGGTAAAACGTTCGTTGGCATACACATGTTTCTTCATTTCACACAGGAAACGAGCGTGTAAGAGCGACGGAATACTGTTTGGAATACACACGATTTCCAAGTTTTATGCAGGAAACGATCGTGTAAGAGAGACAAAACGTTCTTTGGCATAAACACGATTCTTCATTTCACACAGGAAACGATCTTGTGAAAGGGGCGAAAATTTTCTTCCGTATACATCCATGTCTTCAGAGTGCTCGATCACTTTCGATTTTTAACTTCAAACAATTTAAAGATTTCAGAAAAATACCCCGACGAATTTGTTGAATCAAAGCAAGAATCCTTCTTTTATCAGACGTCAGTGTATTTCATTTCAATTCTCCTCCTGCTATCTCATCCTCATTTCTTGTTTTTGTCTCATGAAATATCGGCGCAGCAGATTTGTTTATTACATGTTTTTCCTTCCACAATGTTCATATTAACACGTTACTGCAGAAAGGAAATGGTCATGTAAAAATGCCAAAAAATGTGTACAGAATTGACTTCCGTTTTTCTTTGAGAGATATGCATCGTTAAAGGAGAGAATGTCTGTTATCGAAACAATAGTCAAAGGGCTCTTATGTATTTGTTAGAGAGAGATTCCGTAGGCAAGAATGAAATCAGGGGAATATTATGCTGTTATGGCCTTCCGCATAAAGGCGAGTTGTTTAATGTTGGCGAAATTGACAAAATGAATTTGAACTCGGTTGACTCTTGATTTTTGGTTCAACAGTTCTTTCACAAGTCTGTGGAAACGAAATCATTCGTTCAGAATATGGATTTCAATTCGAGCTCCCGGAAAAAAAAAAAAAAAAAAAAAAAAACGTTGGTCAGTATTTAAAAACGTGTCTTTCTATTCCTGCTTGTAACAATATGCCTAAAGATCATCACTGGAGGAGAAAAATTGATTGACCAAGAAAAAAACACTCCCCCAGAAAGCAAGGAAGATATTAAGACTGCGAAAATATGGTTAAAGGCGTATAAAAAAAGATGTGTTAAATATTATGTAATATATAATGACCCTTATGACAATAAACACTTGATATTTTCTCACATTCATGAAGCTTGGTAAGACAAGGTTCTGCAAACGTGGATGTCTGGCTGTTGTTTATGGATAGTGACTCGGAATTGTTAATCAGTTAATTGTGTTCCAATTCTCGTCGTGTTCGTTATATTCATACCCTTGGCAAAGATATGAATCTACGTCTTCTTCTTCCACCTATGGGTTAATTAGTAAGAGTTTTATCACTAAACCATTTTTATCTAAAAAATAGTATATATATATATATATATATATATATATATATATATATATAACAATAATAATAATAATAGAAACAAAACACTTATAATCTAAAA